TTCCTGCTGCAAATCCCACTGCAGAAAACTTGGGGCACTCTAGAAATGGGAGAAACGCTCCCGTAATAGGCAGGATGGAGTTTCTGTGTTGCTAAAACAAGCTCAGGGACATCTGTCTGGAGTGCCGCATTGTAGGCAAAGGGCCCATGCAATTCATGATCAAAGCTCATGCATTTCATGCCTTTGTCACAGCAGAAATATTGAATTTCATGGGTTTATCACAGCTTCCTGGAAAAAAAAAAGCATTTTAAAACCAGCCAGATTATGCAGAGACTTCCAGATAATTACTAGAGTAGATTATAGCACTGAACTCGGATGGATATGGATCAGTACTGCAGAGAGTGCTCTGTGCACCGAAAAATCTCAGTCTTTGTTAAGGATGGAGCCCATCTTCAGTGACTGGAGACATACAAGCTGCTGGCAGCCCAGCTCCCAAAGTTGGCTTGTTCTCATTTTGTTGTAAAGCTGGTGCATCAGCAGCACCATCACCTCCTGCTGCTGCTGGCCCTGGTATTTGCTGCCTAAGTGCACGCTCTGCCTCGGTGCATGCTGTGCCTCGGCACATGCTCTGCCTTGGTGCATACTCTGCCTCGGTGCACGCTCTGCTTTGGTGCATGCTCTGCCTTGGTGCATGCTCTGCCTTGGTGCATGTTCTGCCTGGGTGCACGCTCTGCCTCTGTGCATGCTCTGCCTAAGTGCATGCTCTAAGTGCATTCTCTGCCTTGGTGCATGCTCTGCCTTGGTGCATGCTCTGCATTGCTTGCAGCACCCACACATTTGTAGGACTGCAGCCCCAGTGTGTCTCAAGGTTACACTCGTGCCCAGAAAGGAGATAATCTGATTCTCATCTTCTCCAGTGTACTTCGCACTAATTTGCAAGTGAGGTTTAAAGTTACCCTTGGGCTCTTCTGGAGTGCCTTGCCCAGAGCTGGGCAGGAGGATGCACCATGAGCTGTGCAGCCCTGGCATCAGCAGGACTTAGGCAAAGCAGCTATAAAGGGAAGGCAGATCTCGTTGGGTTTGATTCATCAGCGCAGTTTTAGGTATAATTGGGAAGCCTCTGGCTCATGTAATTGCCCATTTCAACCTCAAAACTGCATTCAGCTTAATTGCAATTAAAGCAGCACTCTGAGGAGCAAAATCAGCAACTGTCTGGAAAAAGGATTATTTTGTGTTGTGATGCGACTCAGCTGCAGAGTCCCAGATTCCTGCAAGAGAGGCTCATACCAGCCTCCCCAGCACACAGGCGGTCCTGTCCTGCTCCCTGGGTCTGGATATGTATTTCATGCCTGACCTGAGGATTTCTTTAGCTTCAGCCATGTGCTGACACTGGGTTAGTGGGGGTAAAGCCCCCCCCATCCTACATTTTCTTTTGTGTTTGTCATCCAGACAGCTTCTGAAAAACTAACAAGGTTGCCTGGCTCTCTGTCCTTCCCCATCTAATCGGGGAACTGCTGTAGGGTTTTTTCCCCCCAGTGCTAGTTACAATGCCATTAAACATCACCTCTTCCCTTCTGCCCCCCAAATTCCAGGCTCCTGTGAGCAGACGCTCCTTGATTCATACATCAGCCATGTTCGAGAGAGAATTTTCTATGTTTCTTAGCCCATCCTCTCCCCATTCTGAACGATTTTGTGCTCACTGATTTCCATCCAATTTTCATGTCTCGTTCTGGGCTCACGCCCAAGCTGTCCTGGATTGCTAGCAGCGGCACGGGCAGCATCTCCCGGTTCCCACTCAGTGTACGACTAGCACTTCCCACCAGCAATCGCAGCATGCCATTTTATTGCTTTTTTCTCACAAACGCCTTGTACAGTGCCCTGTCTCCCTCACCTGACAGCCTTGCTCCCACACTTGCTCTTTCCCACTGAATACTCTTGCTGTGACTTTCTCCGAGGGAGCTGGCTCACCTGGAGCAAGGGTGCAGCTGGGTTTACAATCACTTGCAAATCTTCATTCCTCGAGGCACCTCACTCATTTTTTCCTGCCCCATCTTCTGATTATTTTCCATACCAAAACTGTCTTCAGGGTTTTATTTGCATTCATCTCCCAGCATTTAGGTATTTTGGTGATAACACTGAACTGGATTCACCTTTCTGTGTCCTTCCACTCCCAAGGCACGGATTTGGGGACCATCATTCAGCAGCTTTTCTCCCCTCTTCCCACTCTCCTTCGATGCTCTCAGTTGTGCCTTGTCCAGATGCACAAAACCGGGTACAGCCACTTCATCCGCACACTCCACCCTCGCTAATTCCTGCTAACGCTGAAGTGATCCTCTCCAAATGGGGGAATTTTCCAAATCAGAAACCAAATGAGCAAACACTGTCAAAAGGCAAAGGATAAACCATCCCAAACGCACTTCGTTTGGATTCAATTATTTATGGTAATACTTCGTAATGAACTGGGAAATGTTCTGTAGCGCATTTTGTAAAATTAATGAAGTTTTACTACTGGAATACCTCACTGCTGCTCAGTGGCATTAAATCTTTGCTGAGTGCAGTAGGGAGGACTCGGCATTTGAAATGCGGATTTTAAAATGCGGAGATTAACAAAGCGCGGGCTCTTCTGCGCTCTGTCAGGAAACGGCTCTATCAACAACGGCATTACCTTGCTGTCTGCTGTTTCCCTATTATTCCACTCATAAACACACCCACACCGGAATCTCCCAAAGCTTCATCATGTTCTTATCACCTTTTAAGGCCAAGATCTCTTTATGGAGCCAACAGTGTTTCCATCTGGTCTGTGTGGACGATAAAAGCCGTTAAGATGCCTGGATTTCAGAGCAAAACCCACACAGGGTGTCAGCCAGGGGAGAGGGACTTCAGCCACTCTACTGTGTCCTGAAAAAAAGAGCATCTGGGCTCCCTCCTGCTGATGGCAGTTCGAAGTCCCAGCCTGCCCAGGAGGAGGGTTGAGGCACCGGGCGCTGCAGCCCAGGCTGGATGAGGCTTTGAGCAACCTGGGCTAGTGGCCCATGGCAGGGGGTGGGACTCGATGGTCTTTAGGGTCCCTTTGCAACCCAAACCAGTCTGTGATTCTGTGACACCAATCTGCACAACTTGCTGCAGAGCTGCCTGCACACAGGACATCTTGGTGGAGCTGGCTTCCCTCTTCGGGACACACCTGCATCTCTTGAAGTCAAAGTCATCACTTCAGTAACGTGGTCAGGTCAAGATCTGATGGGCCAGGGCCATGCAGAACACCCAACCCTGGCTGCTGTCCCCCAGCCCTGCCTGTTGTCCCCCAACCCTGGCTGCTGTCCCCCCAGCCCTCCTCCGCAGCCTCCGCAGTCTTCCCTGGGTTCCCTGGACCTCCTGCTGGACCTCCATCAGACCCCCAGGGAAGACCAGCCAATCCTCCTGTCTCAAGGCATTTTTTCCCCTCTCTTCCTGATTATTAATTTTTCTAGTTGTGCTTGTTTTGGCAGAGGAGGGGAGGGGCATCAAGCTGGTGGTGTCTCCTCCTCCCATGCTCTTCAGGCATCAAACTTGTGTAAATTTTCCTGGGCACCCTGGAGCATCTTCAGGCATAAGCCCCTCACTCATTTTTTTGAGACCCCGTACTCTTTATGCCGTGTCAGAATGGCACATTTTACCCAAAAGCAAGTGTACACTTTCTGAATTTCCATGGCTTGGCCCAAGGAGCGGGTGTGATGAAGGGGACCGGTGGCCATGGGGCAGGTTCCAGGCATGGTGCTCCACGGCGTGATGGTGGAGCCGGTACTGGTTCATGTGCTCTGCAGGGAAATCCAGCGTTGGCTCTCCCCAGCAACCCCAGCAGGAGCAAAAACTAATCCATAGGAAGGAATTGATGTCTTAGCCCTTACTGTTGAAATTCAGGAGGAACTATAATTGCCCCAGGCTCTCACTCTTCAGTGCCTCCTGCTTGGCTGGTCTCTGAACACCCAGCTGCACATCCCTTTCTGCTTTGCATTACGGAGTGCCGTAAGCCCACGGCACAACTGCAAACGGGCTGTGACCAGGGGTGCAAGTGCTCCTTTCCCGGCTCTTTCCCCCCACATCTCACCTTCTGCCTCTCATCTCTCTTACAGCATGCTGCCAAGGGACAAGGCACTCTACCTCACCTAGAACTCCCCATCTTGGCTCGAGGAGGCTCAGATGAAGGACACTGGAGAGGGTCGATCTTACAGACTATGCGGAGAGGCACCGAGCAAGTCGTACGGACGAGAGAGCTACCACTGCACCTCGTCGCTGGCTTCGTTTCCAGGCTCTAAGAGCAGTTTTCTTTTTTATTATTTTTGAACTCTAAAAGTCTACTTTCTGTGGAAGCCCAAAACCTCATAAATCATGAAGAACAAAAAAAAAAAATTAAAAAAAATAAAATAAATATACACAAAACTAACAAAAAAAAAAAAAAAACTAAGGACACCATTTTTCTGCTTGCCATCAGCTTAGCTACAGACTATTTTCCTAGTGAACTGCTTTTAGACGCAGCATAGGGCCAGGTCTGGTGTCCGACAGCATTAGGCCAGCTCAGTAGGAGGATGCACTCTTTTGACTTGCTAACAGCACTAAACTTTGTGCAAGAAAATGTGAAGTTTGTGTGAATATTGTACATGCAAAGGCCTTGGATGTCTGGCAAAAAAAAAAATACAAAAAATAAATAAAAACTATTGCTAGTTAAGTGGGGAGAGAGAGCAGAAGGCAAAATCTGAGAGGACAAATGTGAAAAAGATCATGAAAATATAATTTGTTGGATAGTTGTAAGTAGTTTACTAAGTGTTTTAGAGCTGTGCTAAAGACATCTTTAAGATTTTTTTGTGAAAAAAATTAGTAGTTTACTTTATAGTAAAAGCATTTTATATTAATTGTAGCACATTTTTTAGTTATACATAGAAGGGAGATGTGTATAAAAAAACAACAAAAAAAAAGCCTGCCAAACTTGTTTCTATTATTTGTACAGCAAGAAATGGACAATTTATATCCATGTTGTATGGCATTATTATATTTTTTCTGCCATATGTCCATCTATTTAAAAATTGCTGACAATGATTTTTGTCTATTTATGAAAAATTAGAGAGCATAATTACAGTTTCTCATAAGGTGCATTTCTGGGTTGTTTTTTTTTTTATTTTTTATTTCGTTTGACGGTGCTGCTTACGCAGCACCTGGCACATTCGGTTCACAATGCTTATCTTTACCTTTCTTTATAATAAAACATATGAAAAGTAGAACTGAAGCAGTCTCTCCTTATTCTGGGGGCACACCCGGGAGATGTCCCACCCAGCGAGGTCCATGCCTTGTCCTTGTCCTCCCCCATCACCTTCTCACTTGCTTTCTTTTTCTCCCCCCTTGCTCTGGGCCGATATCACTTAATTAACTATATCTGCCACCACCCCCAGCAATGAAAGCTACCACTGAGCAATGGCAGACAAGCTTTTTTTTTTTTTCATTTTCTTGGAAAATGCCAACTTTCCGCTCTGCAGAGCGTACTGTCCTTTTTCAAGCAGTAACTCCCTGCCCTGTGCATTTGCTTACTGAGCCATCCCGTGCCCCAGCCTTCTCGACCCTCCTCCCTTCCGCCAACATAAAATGTCCTCGCAGATGTGGGGGTCACCAAGCTGCCTGGTGACCTCTGGATGATGCCCACAAGAGCCCCACTCCCAACTTTTCCTAGGAAGCATGGATGAGAAGGACACAAAAAGGATGGAAAAATTCAAATGGCGCAAGGATGGAATTGGCATTTCCATCCTTCTCCAGTAAGGATGGAAAATGCAAATGGCACAAGAACTAACACCATGGGGGGTTCCACACCCCAGGCCACCTGCCTGGAGGAAACTGTTCATTAACGTACCATTTTAAGCTCATTTGTAGACAAAGTTTGGCCGTAGGAGTCTCACCACGTTGTGTCACTATCACATGTTGTGTCACTAGCACACAAGATGCTGTCACTTTTTCCATTAAAACCTGAAGCTGGGGCATGGCTGAAGCTGGGGCACGGCTGTTTCTCATGCAGTTTGGGGCATTGGGTCTTCTTTAGGTCCGAACGCTGCAGCTCAGATCCTGGTTTTCCCCACTGCCACCCAGCTATGATGAAAGCGGGCTTAGCATTTATGTTCTCCAGTGACTTGAAATCACTTTTTTAAGCTTTCAGACTATTCTGATAACCCAGGGAAGAGCTCAGCCTTCGGAGTTAAGGGGTTTTTGGATGAAGTAAATGGTCATTTTCATCGCCTAATGATTTTCCACATGCTGCAAAAACTGACTCGGTGCCCATGGCAGTAAGTCCCCATTAGAACACCAAGCCCCAGCTCTTACTGGCCCACGGGCCACAGGGGAGGGGAAGGAACGTGTGGTGGGAGCTGTCCTGCTGTGTCCTCTGACTGACACCTTCAACAGCATCATCACCCACCCCACTGGCGCATCAGACAACACCCACTCCAAAATCCCCCACTTTGCAACCCAGGAGCTGCCAGCCCTGGGGCGATGGGGGAGACCTCCAGGGTGGGGGGGTTTGGGGCATGGTGGGTTGGCCCGAGCAGTCCCCAGCAGAGCACCCTGGGTGCTGGGAGAGGTGGAGGTCAAGGCACCGAGGCAAGGGACAGCACATCCCTGGGGCTGCAGGACCTCGCGGAGGGTTGCAGAAATCCAGGCAGGTCTCAACCACCTGCAATCAGCCTGACATAAAATCCATGTTCTCCTCCACTTCTGAGGCTGTCACGGCGTTATTGCAAGGCAATTGAGTGGCGGGGGGGAAAAATGAGTGGCGGTCCTCTCTGCTGAGAACATTTGCTTTCTCAGCATGAGAGACAGACGTGAAATCAAGATGCAACTCTGTGAATCAGCTTTCATTAGAGCAGTTACACCTTTAACCCCAAGCTTCCTGTTCTCTCAAAGGATAAACAGAAAATGTGCCTGTTCCGTGTCCCATTGACCACAGTGACTCTGTATTTTATCCTGGTTTAAGTCCAGCGAACTCTCACCAACGCTGCACAACGGTTGTGGACTTGGGCAAGCGAGGGACGATGCTGGACAAAGCTCTACATGTGGGACTCTTCCTCGCTGGTGCCCAGCCGGTTGTGGGCTTGGGCAAGCGAGGGACGATGCTGGATAAAGCTCTAAATGTGGGACTCTTCCTCGCTGGTGCCCAGCTCAAGGCCATGAAGCCGCCCTTTTATCTCCATAATCTTGAACCATTTGAAAATAAAACATGGAGCATAATAAAAACTTCCTGAGGAGCAGCGTGAGCAAGAACATCTCAGCCCAGCTTGGCTAGCTTGTGGGCTTGGGCAAGCGAGGGACGATGCTGGATAAAGCTCTAAATGTGGGACTCTTCCTCGCTGGTGCCCAGCTCAAGGCCATGAAGCCGCCCTTTTATCTCCATAATCTTGAACCATTTGAAAATAAAACATGGAGCATAATAAAAACTTCCTGAGGAGCAGCGTGAGCAAGAACATCTCAGCCCAGCTTGGCTAGCTTGTGGTGGGCAGATAATTGCTCTGCAATATCAGAGCCAGGAGATTTCTTCCAAATATGCAATTATTAAACTGGGGGGAGGGGGATGGAATAAGGCATTAAGATGAAAACCTACCTTGAGTTCTCGCAGCAGGGAGATAGGACTTATTCCAGGGAGAGTTTCTGAAATGTTAAATTTTTTTGTGTGTAGAAGGTTAAGTGGCCTTGAGACTCTGAAATCACAGGGAAGCCGTTCCCAGCCCTGGGAAGATGTCTGAAAAAGGTCTTCACTGGAAGTATCAATGGTGAAGGGTTGGTGATGGTGAAGGACAGGCAATGGTGAAGGGCTGGTGATGGCGAAGGACAGGCGATGGCGAAGGGATGGTGATGGCGAAGGGCTGGTGATGGTGAAGGGATGGTGATGGCAAAGGGTGGGTGATAGCGAAGGGTGGGTGATGGCGAGGGGCTGGTGGTGGCGAGGGGCTGGTGATGGCGAAGGGCAGCCGTGTGGGGCACAGTGCCTCACCACCAGCTGTGGGGATGCAGGAGCCACTGCAGGGATGCAGGGCAGTTGGCTATTATAGAGCCCGGAACATTAATGAGAAATTGTAAGATCTTCCAGACTGCTTTAATCCCGACTAATCTCCAAATTTGCGTGATGGCAGCTGTGCTTAAATGGTATTCCAGCTGTTGGGTAATTGTTGTGGACATGGAATTGTTCCAGGGAAGAAACTGGGAGCTGAGCCTTCCCATCCACCGTTGCAAAACAAGCCCAATCCCCAGTAACCGGCCCAGCCCCAGCCCCGCGGGCAGGCAAGGGCGAGGACCCAGGGCAATGGGCTGGGCAGTGATGGCATGGCCGGGTGAGCCTCTCCTGGGTCCGAACCCTTGGGCTGTTATTAGAGTTAGTAGAAAATGTGGTAGCTGGGTCTGAAGAAGCCATCCAACCCCCCACTTCGTGACTCGGGGCAGGGTCAGCTCTTCCTAAACCCTGCCTGTGTGCCTCACCTCCCCTTAAAAACCCTGAAATTCCCGGCAGATAACCTAAATCTCACTCCCTACAAGCAAATCCCTTTCTTTTGAACATATGGAAGAATTTCTTGCTCTCCTTGTTGCAGCAGTTTTGTCCATATTTGAAGAAGTCTATTGCCCCCCCCCTTCACACACCCCTTCTCCACCCTGCCCGAGCAGTTGCAGTTGAAGGTCGTGTTCCGGGGCAGGATGAGCTGCATCATTTACACTTTTAGTCAATGAGCACCAGGTAGATCCTCAAAAGGCTCCAAAACGGCTTTGGGGTGGGGGATTTGTCAGGGCTGAGGCACTGTGGGGCCACGGGAGAGGCAGGACCCAGGAGGGTGCTCCCAGGTGTTGGGATAATGATGGAGAGGGAAGAGGCACAGGCAGGGAGAGCCCTGGCTAATTGACTTGGGTTTATGAGGATGTAATTAGCAGCACTGTAGGATTTAATGAGCAGTTTAACAAATCTCATCAGCAGGATCTGCGTGGGGTTAACCCTTTGAGTTCAGGGATTCAGCCCTCCAGACTAGCCCACACAGCCCTGGTGGGGTGGGGTGGGGTGGGATGGGATGGGATGTCTCCAGGCGGCGACGCCCAGCTGGCACAGAAACAGGGATACCCACCAGCATCCCGCCACCCCACCGGGACACAGCCTCCTGCACACACAGGGTGTTCTGGGGGCTGAGGGTGTACAGAAAGGGTGGCACCACCCCGAGCTGCACCCACAGCACAGGACCAGGGCCACAGATGCCCCAGCAGCACTAGGAAGACAGTTTGTCTTTGTTACATCTGTGTTATTATTATTAAGATGATGGAATGGAAGGGAAAACAGTCCTGACAAGCAATATTGAAAACTTTACGCAAGATGGATCAAAGGAAAGGACTTCATTTGACAAATCCCAGAACCCTGACAGCAGCAGCACATGCGAGGAGCAGAAGCCTTGTGCCAGCCCCAATGAGGTCCTGGTCCTCCTCCGAGGGCAGCTTTGTACCTCAGCAAGTGTCCCCGTTCCCCAAAGGTCCCATTGGGGCTAGGGCTGCTGCAGGGTGCTGGTGATGAGAGCAGCGGTCCTCACTGTGCTCCTGGTAGAAGCAGAGTGGTCAGACCTAGAGCAAGTCTGGGGTGAAGGAAATGCACAACGATGCTGGGACCCAGCTCCCGGGACAGCTCTG